ATACAGTATTCAATGAATTAAAGGAAATATTCTTTATTATAAAATAGGTTTTGTGGGAGATGATTTTGCCCAACTGTAGGCTAATGTAAATGTTCTGAGAATGCTTAAGGTAGGCCAGGCTAAGCTATGATGTTAAGGGTATTACATGCATTTTTGACTTATGCTATTTTTGACCTAGGATGGGTTTAACCCCATTGTAAGTGGAAGAAGATCTGTAGTTGGATAAGGATATGGGAATGAGAGAGAATTTTTTTCAAGATGGGAGTACAGGAACTTAAAAATCCAAAGAGAAGGATTCAGTTGAAGAGAAGTTGAGTCGAGAGGGAGTGAATACTAAAAATACACAGTTCTTGAAAAGGTGAGGGGATAGAATCCAAAGCTCTGATAGTGGGGAGGCTGGCCTTCAACAGGAGACAGAACAGTCTCTATCTTGTAACGCAATGTAAGAAGGAAGACAGAATGCTTGGGGAGCTTTAGACATTCGCACTGAGGAGTGGAGAAGTCCAGTATCAGATGGCTTTTTTCTCTGGGGAGGAGGGGAAGGTCTGCGGCCAGAAGATGAACGGGGAAAGTTCTTATGCTGAGGGGGGAAAGAGTTGTAGGTGAGTGGTGAAGTAATCACAAATTGATGTCGGTGATCATAAAGCCCCTGAGTATTAACTGCCTGCGTGCAATCTCCTCCATTCTGCATTTTCCGGCCTGAGTTCGGGAGGAGGCAAAAAGAAACCAGAGTGTTGGGGTCATCAGGGTTAGAATTGCTGAAGACACCTCAGCATTTCTCACACTGGCCTTTCTCCAAACATTCTCCTGACAGATGTTAATAGGTATACTGAGGGGAAAAAAAACCCTCCTTGGTCAAAGAAGTGTGGGAGAGACACTATCCGCTCTTTTCCATTCCAATCATGCACATGAACGTATTTGAGGTTCTGAGGGTCTTGAGTTTGAAAATCTGGTTAAATTTAGTTTCGTCAACTTTTTCAAGCTTATTTGCTTTCAGAATGCTGTGTGTGTGTGTGTTTGTGTGTGTGTGTATAAACTGCATCTGTTAAAGTCTCATTGTTTGGTTTATCTCATTGTTTGGTCAGGTAATCAGGAGTTCACCTCACCCCTACTTAAAAGGACAGAAGCCTTTATCCCTTTCATCCAACATGTTTACATTATCTGTCATTAGCCATTTAAATCTATATTGATTTAGGGTGGAACAATTGCATACTTTTTCTGAAACACACCTCATTCTTCATGAACAGCAGTGCTCTGTGTCTCTTCCACTTGTTCTCAGTTCTTCTCATAAACTTGAAAAACAAACAGTGTGTTCTTCCAGGACCATAAGAAGCCATCGTGAAATGTGGCAAGGCAAATAGGGCCAGCAGTCATCCCAAATAGAAAATGGTGCTGGCAGGGAGGGTGGCAATGAGAGTCACCTGTATTATTATTTATTACTGTTATTTATTATAAGCAACATTTTCATAGGTCCTTACAGTGTGTTATTTTGCATAATCACATTTAATTATGGTTGAGCAACGTACACATCTTATTGGTGAGAGCAAGGAACATAGTTTGGGGGGGACGACAAAAGACATATTGACGAAAATAGAGAGGAGCTGGGGAGGGAGCTAAGTGTCAGGGACAGTGGTCTAGATCATGCATTCTCAGTGGAACTGCTGTTGCCACCAGCGGGATAAAAAGTGGTTTGTGGGGGGCAACAAACATAGGTATAACAATGATTTGTGGCCCTTTGGAGGGCCATTAAAAACTGCCTAAAAATATGCAGTATATTTGTGCTATTAATAGTTCATGGTAGAGGATGATTAGAACAAAAATGTCTACCATAGGCTTGCTGAGGGGGGGAGGTGATAATGGAAAAAAGATTGGGGAGCCACGGTTTAAATCCTGCAGTGCCTGTGGAATGTGTTGACATTTGTGAGTGATTCTTTTGTTCCCAGACATGTTAGCTCATTTGTCTAGCACAGTGTCTGCTTCTGGCTTCATTTGTCCTGCCCATCTTCCCCAAGGCTCTAAATGACTATGTTTTGCCCCCATTAAGCTCTTCTCTTCTGGCCACAGCTGACCGAATTAGGGTGGATATAAGCCAAGACCAGTATGGCCAGTGCATGACTGGTCCCAGGAAGCCTGGCTTTGCTCACTTCCTCTCATCAGGCCCCTGTGATGCTGCTCTGTATTTTTATAATGTCTGCCACACAGCTTACTCCCTTTGAAATGACTTGAGTGGGTGCCAGAAGAGCCCTGGGGTGTTGAGACATCTCCCCAGTCAGGACGCTTGGCCTGGGGGTATACTGTTTGAGTAAGATTGAATATGACTAAATGAGGAGAGAAGAGAAATCTGTTCGAATCATCAGCTCATCTTGCATGTATTCAGCATCTGACGAATGCTGACTAGGGTTTCTTAACAGCTGTGATATTGACATTTTGGACCAGAGAGTTTTTGTTGGGGGCAGGGGTGAGGGCTTTCCCATACATTATAGGAGGTTTAGCAGCATCCCAGGCCACTCCCCACTAGATGCCAGTAACACCCACTCCACCAGTGGTGACAACCAAAAATGTTTCTAGACATCGACCAATGTCCCCTGGGGAACAAAATCACCTTGGGTTGAGAACAACTGTTATAGATAAACTAGAGCCATTATAGATGGGTATAAATCTAATTGTACCAGTATGATTAGAAACGCCACAAAGGGCTTTTGATCTGCTGTTGAGCATCACCTTAATGAGGATGTTACCAGAAATGATGGAAGACAGTCCTTGAGAGAGCTAAAACCAGCGTTGTTACCAAGATAATCACAGCTACCACTTAGTGAGTGCTTGCTTATGTGCCGGACGCTTGCCACACGTGTTCCATTTATTAACTCATCAGCCCTCCCAGCAACTCCAGGAAGTCAGTGCCACCATTATTCTACCCACCCTACAGTTGAGGGAACTGAGATGTGGAGATGTTAAGGGACTTGCCAGAGGTCACCCAGCTGGTGATAGTAGCGTCACCAGGCAGCATGGTTCCAGAGCCCATGCGCTCATGAGCACATAACAACTCCTTTGGAGAAGGAAAAGCAAGCCGCTTTGTACTCCAGCATCCCATAGAGATGGTTCCTAAGGAGGTTGCTAACATTAAGACAATTCAGGTGGAGGCTGGAATTTGAGAGGGGAAATCAGAGGCAGTTGAGTCTATCACTGCCTGTCCCCCTCACTGGTCTTCTTAACTCTGCACCATCACCTACTGCCCTGGCCTTATTTTCAATGTTGGGGAAACTTTTTACAGTTTTGGAAGGTTCGTAGAGGCAAGAAGCATTTGCTTGGGAGATCCTTGCTAGGCTCTTGAGGTCTTTCTAGAGTGGCTTAGGTTTACATGTTAGAGTAAGTTCACTCCTTTAGAGCCACATATAGATTAACTTTGCCAGACCCAGCTGGCAAAGGTAACCACTCACGCATCTCAGGTGGTGCCAGAGCCCAAGAGCTCTTCAGCAGAATCAGGCGTGAGAATTCCCATCTGCCATTGATGGCACTTTATGAGGGGAGGACCACGTCCGAAGTGGGAGTGGGAACCAAAGGGAAGATGAACTGTTGGCATCTTTCAGGTTTGGACAAAGCGAAATATTAAGCAAGTCAGGACTCAGAGGTCCCTGGAGTTCCAGGCAAATATAGACATTCTTCCTATTCCTTCCAACCTAAGGGACAGCACCAGTGTCAGGAGTCAGCAGTGTGGATACATGGCATGTGCTGCAAAGGCATCTGTCTTGAAGGAGGAAGGCAAACAGTGCTGTTCCCCAGTGGAGGGTGTGGTATTGCCAGGCTGGCCATGAAAGGATCACCAGGGTTGCTTGATCAACATACAGAATCCCAGCTCCCACCCTGGTGGATTCCAATTCCAGCAGATCTGAGGTGTGGTATGGCAAAATGAATTTCTAACAGTAGATTTGGATGCATCACTAGACCTGGGGAGTGCTGCAAAGACTGGGAGCAACAACCTCTATCATGTGGAGAGGTGACCCGGAAAAGCTGAACAGCGCCAGCCATACCAGACCTGAGGTCCTCTGGCCGACGATCACATTAAAAGAACCCTTTGCCCAAACCCTAGGGTGATATATACAATATTATCACAACTCATACCTCACACAAGAAAGGGCTTAGTTGCTAGTTGCCTACTTTCTACAGATTCTTAAGAGCATAGTATGATGGTCAGTATTGATCAGTTTAGACTAACACCAAATATTGCCTTAGCAGGTTTTTTTTATGTGTGGATAACACATAATAGTAAAAGTATAAAAAAATCTATAAAGATGCTTATGCTATCAGGTTAGGGTGCTCTAAGAATTAGTATTTACTGCTAAGTAATTAGAAAGCATAACTTGGGAAACTCCTAACAGAATCCTATTTGGAATTTTAGTGTTAATGGATGGCAGCTTCGCAAGTCAAAATCTATGTGATAGGAAAACACTGAGGGAAAATGATGTCCACATCAGGCCCAGCCACCCCCATGAATTTAAGAGCTTGCTTTGTCATGCAGAGATCTTATTTTGTATTTGTGATAACTGATAGCTGTGACGGACAAGCTCACCGTAAGCATCCAATCCTGTTCTCTGTTCCCTTTTTGAATCCATCAGGAGTTCCATCGTCTCAGAGTTCATATCCCTGTGGAATGTGCTTGTGGGTTCTTTGGTGGAAGACCTGTTTCCCTGGTTTTCCTGTCTCCTCCCTTTCCCACAGGGCAAGATGTGGACAGAGAAGTTTATGGATTTACTCCACTGATACCGCGTGGTGCTAAATAGGACCCCAGGCCACAAAATCTTTGAGGTATACCTGGATAGGAAAGCCAAGAAGAGAAGAAAGGCAATACTCCTTTTTCAGTGGTGGAATATGCTGCTGAATCTCTTCTAGGCATGAGTAGAGACATGGAAGTTTCTCAGCTTGAGCATGTGTGGGCACAACTCATGCTCACATGTACACCAGTGTATATGTAATTAAGACTCTGAAGCCTTTGGTTAATGGGGCTAAGGCTGATGCCAGTTGGGGACAGAGCTTCTTCTACCCTCTTGGTGGACTTAGTTGGAGGGAGTCCATGTAGACAGAAGATCCAGTGACAGGTTTTTCTGCTCTTGCTCAGATCTGACAAGGTGGTAGCCCAGCAAAGTCATGGTATCATTGCAGACTTTTTGAAGTCGAGAAACCTTTTCATAAGGCAAGGTCCAGCGCCAGGCCTGGGAGACGTTGAGGGCATTCCTGGCATTAGTGTGGAAGGCATGATTACCCATGCCCTTGCCTCGAGTGATGTTGTACACCCAGGTCTGGAGGTGGGGCAAGAATTTCAGTCCCACATATTTATACATTTGGGCAGTCTGGGCAATGGGCTCCCGGACCAGGTCCTCATAGCGAACGAGCATGTAGCGTTGCCTCAGGGCTTTGGGCAAGGACTGCACAGCCTTATAGATCTCCAGCTGGCTTCGGCAGATGACCTGCATCACGTAGTAAGGCTGATCTTCCTCCTTGACTTTCTCCCAATGCTGCCCCATCACAATGCGGCTGTCAATCATGAGTTCCCCTGTGGTGTGTTCTCGAGAACGGAACACCGCCCGGGGATCCCGTACCAGGTGCACAATATGCAGATTGAGGGAAGGGTCTCTCAGCAGTGGGTAGAGCACCTGCAGGTTGAAGAAGCGCACCTCCTTGAGCACCACGTGGCTGTAGGAGCGACAGGCCTTCTCTACCACCTCAAAGGGCTGTTGACTGCACAGAAGCTTGCAGTGAGCCTGGGATATGATCATATCCCGGGAGAAGATGTTGCAGGCAGGTGGGGAACACAGGGCCCGGCTGTTGTCCCACTGGAAGAGGCTGGACTGTCTTCGAGGACTGGGTTTCATGTAGGCATCAAAGACACTCATGTCACACAGAAAAATGGCACGGATCAGATCCCTCACTGCCATATGCAGCCTCCAGGCAGTGCTGTGTGTGAAGGTCATCCAGATGTGCCATGCGGGCTCCATCAGGTAGAAGACATCCGGGTGCTGCCCAAAAATCTGTCCCACAAAAGAAGAACCAGAGCGCCAGGAAGACAGGACCAGCACATGCATGGGCTTGGGCTCCTCCTTCGTGGACAGGGAGTTGAAGTTGTGGCCATACAGATGGAAGAAGAGAGCAAAGATGGCCATCTGGGAAATCAGAAACAGCAGTGGCCTCATTTTTTTGGGCAGTATCATCATGCTGAAGTGGAAGACCTTTAAGGAACAAGCAGAAGGGCCGTGTTAGGCTTCTGTTTTGGTGTCAGCCTTCCATCCCCTTTCTTGCCAAAGTCATTTTTCCCCCTGACCCCCAGCAAGGAGCAACGTAGAGTGCTGGGAACTTCTGGTAACCAACTACACAAAACCTTCTCTGAATCAATTCCTGTCCCTTGTAGTTAGTATGTCAATAAGATCTATTTATTTTAGGCTCTTTACTTACTCCCTCCTGGTCTTTCGTGTCCAGTGAGCTGCCAAAAATGCCTGAATGTAGCCATATTTCATCGTCTTAGAGGAATAGCTCCACCCTGCCACCTTGGTGACACGCATGTGTCCACATGGACCACTTAGGCAAAGCTTAACCAGTCTGACCAAATTTTGGTCGAATGTTCTGTGATTCCTTCTGAAACTAAGGGAGATAAGCTGACTTGGGAGGAACTACCTCAAGGTCATTGTTCACCCACCTCCCCTATCTTGAGGGCGATTGCCATAGGCCATTTCTCATTGCCTTCCTTCATCTCAAGCAAGCACAGGCATTTCAATCCCCTGAAGGATATGGTTGCAGGCTATAAAACTGTTCCACTTGAGTTTGGAGTTGTCTCCTCAGGGGCAGAGCCAAGTGCCCATGGTACCTGTCATTTGGTCCCCTCTGGTTTGGCATCATCCTGTGGGACTAGGGACACAAGGAACTGATCCATGCTGACCTTACATCTGTGTAGCTAAGAAACTATCTGAATCTATTTGGCTTGAATTGTCTCCTTAGCAGCTGGCTCTATGGAAGTGTGCAAACCAACCTAAGAGCTGCAGTAGTGATACTTGTGGCCTGTTAGCCACTGTGCTGCTGCTTGGGGGAATGCTTAACTGTGTGACACAACTCAATCAGGGCAGCTCAGTACAGATGGCCAGGTTGTGTACTGCACAACCCTAGGGAATGCCATCTCATTAAAACTTTAAGATATTTCGGGGCGCCTGGGTGTCTCAGATGGTTAAGCGTCTGCCTTCGGCTCAGGTCATGATCCCAGGGTCCTGGGATCGAGCCCCGCATCGGGCTCCCTGCTTGGTGGGGAGTCTGCTTCTCTCTCTCCCTCTACTGTTCCCCCTGCTTGTGCTCTCTCACTCTCTCTGTCAAATAAATAAATAAAATCTTTAAAAAAAAAAAAAACCAAAAAACTTTAAGATATTTCTTATTAATAAATGTTCTCGTAGGTGATGGTAAAGTATTTTGGTCCAACAGAATAAGAACATTAGGATGATTTTCCAGTTGTTAGAAGTTAAATATCTGGAGAGGGGCACCTGGGTGGCTCAGTCAGTTAAGCGGCCAACTCTTGATTTTGGCTCAGGTCATGATATCAGGGTCCTGGGATTCAGCCCCATGTTGGGCTCCATGCTCAGCAGGGAGTCTGCTTGGGATTCTCTCTCTCCCTCTCCCTCTGCCCCTCCCCCCACTTGTGCACACTCTCTAAATAAATAAATAAATATAATCTTTAAAAAAAATATCCAGAGAAATGAATTCCACTTAGTAATTCACACTAAGGCTCATACAGACTGGTGGCAACCCTCAACCCACTCCCTTCATAATCAAGGCTCACTTTGTATGAAAAGACTATGGTTCCCAGTGACATGCTAGAATATTATTCTGAGGTTTTTTAAGAGTTTAAGGTTAAGGGTTCTTTAAGGGTTAAGATGAATCTGGATTATTTTGGGTGACTTCCTAGCATAAACAACTATTGAGAGATAGAACAGATAGAATAGCTATTTCACATAGTGTAAAATATTAATAGTAGCAGGTGCTAATTTTTTTTTTAACATTTTATTTTTAAGTAATCTGTACACCCAACATGGGGCTTGAACTCACAATCCTGAGATCAAGGGTCCCATGCTCCACCAACTGAGCCAGCCAGGTACCTGCAGGGTGCTAATTTGCATATCATTATATACCCAAGATATTCTTCCTTCCAGCTTTTTTTTTTTTTAAAGATTTTATTTATTTATTTGCGAGAGAAAGAATGAGACAGAGAGAGCATGAGAGGGGGGAGGGTCAGAGGGAGAAGAAGACTCCCCACCGAGCAGGGAGTCTGATGCGGGACTCGATCCTAGAACTTCAGGATCATGACCTGAGCTGAAGGCAGTTGCTTAACCAACTAAGCCACCCAGGCGCCCCCTCTTCCTTCCAGCTTTAACAAAGAAAATATATTTTAGGGGTGCCTGGGTGGCTCAGCCGGTTAAACATCTGCCTTGGGCTCAGGTCATGATCCCAGGGTCCTGGGATGGAGCCCCACATCAGGCTTCCTGCTCAGCAGAGAGCCTGCTTCTCCCTTTCCCTCTGCTGCTCTCCATGCTTGTGCACTCTCTCTCTCTCTGAGAGAGAGAGAGAGAGAGAGAGAGCCAGAGTGTGGACAGCATGAACAGGGGGAGGGGCAGAGGGAGAGGCAGATTCCCTGCTCAGCAAGGAGCTCAATGTGGGGTGGGGCTCAATCCCAGAACCCTGGGATCAAGACCTGAACCAAAGGCAGATGCTTAACTGACTGAGCCACCCAGGTACTCCAATAAATAAAATCTTTAAAAAAAAATTTTTTTTAAGGAAAAAAAAGAAAATATATTTCTAGACAGTAATTGGAGCTGGATTTAAGGTTTGTTAATTTCCTGGTGACAGATCTTATCACTAATTTTTAAGAAGTTTTTAATGAGTAATAGTTACATGGTTCAAATTGTTTTAAAAAGTATCATTATCATGGACATTAAACCCACAGACTTAGAATTTAGAAGGCTTCTTCAGGTGCCTGGGTGGCTCACTTGTTAACATCTGCCTTCGGCTTGGGTCATGATCCCAAGATCCTGGGATCGAGTCCCACATAGGTGCATCGGGCTCCCTGCTCAGTGAGCCTGCTTCTCCCTCTCCTTCTGCCTGCCTCTCTCCCTGCTTGTGCGCGCTTTCTCTCTCTGTCAAATAAATAAATAAAATCTTTAAAAAAATAAATAAAAGAAGGCTTCCTACAATTCTGCATGCATGCAGGACATAAGGGAAGTGCTTACCAGCCTGGGTCTAGCCTGTCACACTGCAAGTCTTTAATAGGTGGGGGGGAAATACTATGACAAGAAGTTATGTCTGTGGATGAAGAGTATAGTCATAAACTGGAAAACTTTTAGAGCTCTTTGTAAACAGGGTTAATGAAATACCTTAATGATAGGTCACAGTATATTTCTGGGGGAAAGAACACCTAAGAATTTTACCAGCTGCTGAATCAGTAACCTCTTCTGTACTCACAGCTAGGATGAATCTGCTAGCTGGTGTTTGGTCATTACTGTACAGCGAAAGTCTACTTCAGTACATGTCCCGTATCTGCCCATTTCCCACCTTGCCCCCAGGTAGCAACTGGGTTCATTTTTTATGTGTCTTTTCAGTTGCTTTCTGCACACCCAAGAAAATTCAAATGTATATGTAGTCTTAATTTTTCCCCCTCTTTATAACAGAAAAAGTAGCAAGTTATACACAGCATGCTTTTTTAAGTTTACAGTATGTCTTGGTGAGCTTTCCACGGTAGCACATAAAGCATTTCCTCACTCCATTTTACCATTACATAGAGTTCTATTATACATATATACCACATTTTATCTAACTAGTTTCCTCATTGCTGGGCTTTTGGCTTATTTCCAGCTCTTTTGCCATTACAAAAACTTCAATAATGACCTGATGTTTAAACCTCGTTACACGTGTGTGTAAGCTAAATCCCCAGAAGGGGAATTGTGGAGTCAAAAAATACACGTGTGTGTAGCTTTGCTATCTATCACCCACATGGCCTTCATACTGGTCATAAACCACTATATCCAGAGCTGCAGAAATTCTAGGGAGTAGATTTTTGAGGAGGAATATATAAATATAAAAGCAGGTTTATAGCTTGCTTCCCGAAGAGGTAGAGCATGCTTTGCCAGCTCATGGGCTTCCCTTGGAAGTCCCCTGAACCTTCTGGGAAGTGTGTACTGACCCAAGCCAAACCTTGTGCAGTGGCATAGAAACCCTTCTCTTCCATTCTTTACAACAATGCATTTCTTCCTTATTGCCAAAAGGATCCAGTGAGGATCCTCTCTCCTTCATGGCCAGGATTACTTTGCTGTATGCCAGGGAAATGTCAGTGAGGGGTAATTCCTTTCTTTGCCCTGAATGTTCGAACAGGACCAGCTAAGATGTGCTCTTAGGTCTTTCAAACTCAAGCCCAAGAGGAAAAGATTAGACACTAGGACATTATTAATAATAGCCCAAGATTGCCCTCCTCTACCGCCACCTCCCAAAGACTGAGGAAATGACTTTAGCAAGAGATCCTCTCCCAGAGGTAACATGAGTATTTGGAAAAATTTGGAACAAAGATAGGAAACAACAGAGCAAAAGAGAGAGAAAAGTAAAGAAGGGAAGAACATGACCTGTGCACATTTATAAGGAAACCGTGATAGAATTTTGTTTGCAGGGCCTGTAATCAACTCAAAAAGAAGCTAACATTTCTTAAGGATTAGGAATGTAGACCTTTCAAAGTTATACTCTCGCTCCCCAATCCTGGCTTTGGGCCAACTCAGTGTCCTGAGCGGGATCAATGGCTCTAAGTCCTCCTTGCCTACCAGTAGCTCCTGGCCTCATGCCCATTCTCTCTCAGAGCTGGAGCCAGGCCTTCTAACTCCGTCCCCAGTTGTCCTCAGGCTTCAGTTGTTCACGGCTCTCGGGAATTCCCATGGAAACCCTTCGATTTCTTTCTCTGCTTTTTCTTACCACGAGCACTCACCCTGGCCAGAAAGAAAATACGTTTTTGTAAAGTGAGTCCCATATCTTGTCACTGGGATCAAGCTACTTCCTGGATCCAGGCAACCCATGATGGGGCCAGCCAGAACAGCCAAGGAGTAGGCAAGGTCCATGTCTGCAGAGATTGTGATCAGTAGCAGAGATTGTAATTAGTAGTAGAGACGATATTCTTGAGGGCCTGGGAGAAGCGAGCAGA